AGAGTAGACCAATTTTGTCAGAGCAATAATCATATCTTTCCTTCATAATCCAAAGAAATATTATGCTGTAAATATCTAAAATAATTTTTCTTAGGATTTATTAATGCACTTATAACTGAATTATGGTCCAACCTGGAATATGGAAGAGATGATGTTAGGGTAACCCATCCCAGATCTACTCCAGTGGATCCTGTTGATCGAAGCTGTCAAAAGGTGAGAATTGATTTATCTGTATAATAATATACCAAGGATGGACACACTTGAAGCTCGGACTTGGGGGGGAGGGGGAGCAAGGGCATCATGCGTAACCTAATCATCTGTACCCCCATAATATGCTGAAATAAAGAAAAAAAAATAATATACAGATTTGAAAACGTATCTCACAGAAATTATTTCATCCATGCTTTATCTATATTCAGTTACAACCAGCAGACTTTCTTATGTAAGTCTTTCCCCTCTTTTTTCATTTCCAAACTATTTTTTATTTTCAAAATGAATTTAGTGAACAATAGAAATACCAGTCTTCCTTGGGAATAATATTTTGCAAGGATGCTTTTCCTTTACAATTTTTATTAGTTTTTCTCCTTTAATAAAGAATAATAATGCACCAGGCATAGTATGAAAAAACAGACAAATCACTGCAACAAAACCAACCAACCAAAATAAAAATCAAAGAAGCTTTTCGCCCTTGAGCTTGAATATAATGGAAAATAGGATTATTTAAAGGAAGTATGGGCAGAGAGAAGATGCTGTCATTTAGAGTAATGTGACAAATTTTTTTGAAGTACCTGTACTGTGTTCTACTATAATGCAGTGGTTTTATATATTTAACATATTCTCCAAATTTCACTGAAATGAAATGATGATTCCTAATTTTGACTTTATGGTAACCTGGACAATTTTCATTCAAAAGTTGTCATAAAATTATTTAAAAAAACAAAAATTTCTAACATTTCAGAAGTTTCTCCTTCTGTAATGGTGGACTAGTTCATTCTTGCAGAAAACACTTGCAAACTTTGGAAAAGTAATTTAAAAATCAAGTAGTTAAAAGCATTGGAATGACCAAAAATAGGCAGAAAATGATGTGGGGAAAGTTAATGTATGGATGAAGAGAATGGTATTGCTTGTGAGATTCTGGATTTGACAGATTGTTGCTTAATGGTAAGCACCAGTTGGTGCTCC